ACTATAACCATTTGTTCAAACAATTAGTCTGCTCAATAATAAGAAAAAATATGTATTGAGCCATGAAACAGGGAGGGTTCAGTGTGGCAGGAGAATACAGATCCTGAAGAGTGGCATAGCCACTGAGAAGGGTGGACAGTAAACCTTATAAACAAAACCTCTTTATGCCCTTTGAAAAGCAAGGATTCAGCTTCCCTTAACGTGGCACACATGTAAGGAAAATATTTGCAGTTTAGTGCAAGCAGAAGAGAAGGGAGAAGAAAGTACAGCAGAATCTAATGAAATTAAACTGAGATTTGAGAGTTAACTGGCAGAAATATATATCTATATTCACTGATAGACTCTGGAAACCATACTATAGTCTACATAATAAACTAGCTTTGTTTTTTCTCCCAGCTGCTTCAGGATCTAACTAGTCACCCCAGCTGAGGCCATGGGGAAGGCTTATAGGAGCGCCAACATCTGCTTCTATTCCCATCAATGTCAAATTTGTCAGAATGCGAAACTGCACCAGGAAAACAATCCCTGTCATAGAAAAATAAACTCTACTTCCATGGATATCCCCTGAAGTACCAAGTGTAGTAGATCTATTACATTTCCAATTTCTATTCCAAAATAAAGTTTCTTTCAAAAAATATATATGTACATTTAAATATATATATAAATATATATATATTTAGCCAGTGTTGTGTACACGTGTCTTAAAATTCTTCGTGGCCTGGTTTGCCTTCACTGGCCAGTCAGTCAGTGTAAATCACAACCATAAAAATTAAGCTTCAGACCAAGTAATAAGGTGACAGATTAAAGTAGCCACTTTTTGGCAACTCTTTACTATTAAATACTTTTTAATTTCTCAGCAACTTCTACCTACAGTTTTACTAGTCTCTTTATTACTGCTATGTTGAGGCTTCAAATGAATACCCTAATTTACAAAGTAAATTAAACCTCATATGAAAACATTACATAAATTAAAAAAAAAAAATCAAAAAGATAAACCTATTTTTTAAGACTTTCCTTAAAAATCACATAAATTCCCCAGCATAAAATCGTGGACCAAAGAGACTCTTGGAAAAGTTTATGTAGTTTTGCTCTAGTTACCTAGTCATAGAATAGAATTATTAAGGTTGGAAAAGACCTCCAAGATCATCAAGTCCAGCACTGCTACGTTTACCAATAAACCATGTCCCCAGGTGCCACATCTACACGTTTTTTTAACACTTCAGCGATGGCAATTCCATCACATCCATGGACAGCCTGTTCCAATGGCTGATCACCCTTTTAGTGAATGAATTTTTCTAAATGTCCAGTCTAAACCTCCCCTAGTGCAACTTGAGGCTATTTCCTTTTGTCTTGTCAATTGTTACCCGGGAAAAGAGATCAATTACCAGATGAGATTAATTCCCAGAGCGATAAAGTATCCCCTCAGTCTCCTTTTCTCCAGGTTAATTATGTTTATCGAACAAAATAAGAAATTTTCATCAAGTTTACACAGATTACAGTAAATATACACACTTTGTCATTTTCTGTAAAGAATGAAATAGATAAGGTACGTAAAGTCAGAAATTTTTTTAAAAGTATCTTTACCATGAGCACTCAAGGTAATATTAATTATTGAGTTACACAGTTGGATAACATAGAATTATTTTAGATAAATATTCACCTGTTGCCATTTTCAGTCCCCTCCAGAAAGAGGATTTTGCAAAAAAAAAAGATTCTCCTCTACCCTTGCAAGTACAGCTTCTCTTTCATTGGAAAGCAGAGATTTTGCCACAGGAAGATGGTATGATCACCAGCAAGATCACCCAGAAGCAGAAAAAAGCCCAATTGGTAATTTAGCCAGTAAAGTATCAATTGTTCATAACAGAAACCTCATATCATAGCTTATAAAAAATCCCATCTATCTACACATACAGTTCTTAAAGATGTTTAATGTCTTATAGAAATTCTTCCATCACCAGATTTGTTTCGTTTAAGAAATGCTAAATGTTAACAAGAACAAAATCTCTGGTATTGCAACAACACTCCAAATGTTATAATGAAATGTCTGAAGGAAAAGCAAAAGCCTTTTCTTCATAATTTCCTGTGCATGCCTCCTCCTTCCAACCTCGCTGGCAACTACTTGGCGACTTAAGTTTATCCACTTCACGTATGTTTACATACCTCACTCAAATGGGCCCAAAATTGTTATTGCTCAGTATCACTGATGTCTCAACAGACTATGCTACTAAAGTTTATTACTGGAAGATTCAGGAGATACAGAAGAAGAATATTAATACAACCAGACCTTTCCACTCAGATTTGTTTTGTGATGACTGCAGATGTAAAACAATATATTGTATTTACACAGCATAAAGCCAAAAAGAAGAGGTGAATGAACTCACATGGAAATGACTACTCTGCTACTTCTATCTAATAAAATAATGAATATATCAAATCTTCTGCTTTGTACCTAGTGTTGTAGACTTTTGGCAGAACATACAAAACAAGCTTCTCCTCACTACACTGATGATAAGTGGAGGATGAAAAATCATAGAGAAGTATGAGAAAAAAATACTTCAAATAGCCAACTAGAAATTTGTTCTCAGTGAGACTTTCTTTAATTCCAAAATAAACTGAAGAATCTAAATAAATCTAACATATAATAGATGTGTTTCCAGTCTATGGAAACCAGCAAAGCATTCCCATGTTGACACAGATGAGTAAAGTCACTTCCTCCTTATATAACCTCTTCATTCTCCAGCCATCCACAGGGTTTTTTTCATTTATCTAAGTGAATATCCTATTTCCTATTAATTACAGTGAAAACTGCAGGTACTTTGTGCAAACTGTTAGGGAGACTGTAAATGGTTTCAGCTTCACAATCAGAAAAGAAACATGGGTTCTACCACAATGAGCTCCACTGAGAAGACCTGGAAGCCTAACTCTTAACTTTGACTGGCATGTCAACCCCTCACACTGCTCTCTACTTTAACAAGACATCATGGAAAATAAGATAATGTTTGGATAGAGAAGTACTCAGCGCTAGGACCTCACACTGGTGGTGAGCGTCACTTCAGACTAGCTCTAGTCCAACCCCAGGAACTGCACATTCATTAGCAGCCAGATATGCTCCTACAGAAAAGCTTCCAGTTCACTTCTAATAAGAAGGACCCCTGCATGTGTGTCCCAAGACCACCTCAGAATGTGAAACAAAGCAAGCTGGAATACTGTTTGTATCTCAAACTAGCTAGTCCTAGGACTGAAAGTGGCTTTAAGAAAAACAGAGAAAACCATAAGCCTAAGACACCTAAATGAGAGGATCTAGTCTTCAGATCAAGAAGTAACCACGAGAACAAGTACAATGATGGTTTTGATGGCTTATGTGAAATCAATGTGATGGTCTCCACACTGGCCCTAGTCCAGTGGCTCTCATAAATCCACCACCACAGCTGCTCTCAACAGCAGTCCCAGCAGGTAGGCCAAAGAAAAGCTCACAAGTTGTTTCCTTAAACAAGGCTGAGATACAGTTAAAACAGATGACATTTCCCTGTGAAGGATTGCATCTGTGAACTGTCACTTGAACCCTGTCCACAACGATTAATAATTACAAAAAACATGACATAGAACCAGATATTTAACACCAGTCCTCCTCCCTTTCTCCATATGATTTATTTAGATCATCTTGATCCAAACTGGAAAAAGACTTATTACTGAATTCAATGTTTGGATACAATTTGAAATATGTCTGATCTTTGGAAGAATCTGAGCACTTACTGCTTGAATACTAATATCTTATGCCTAAAACCTTTGAATCCAAAATAAAAGATATTTCAAATTCTTCAAATTTACTGAAATGATCTAAGACTCCAAATACACCAAATTTGTGGCTTAAGGTAAAATACTGAAGAACATTTTTTTACAATAGGTAAAACCCAATCATTAAATGAAAGCAAGGAAGACAATCACACATCGCCTCTTTCTCAAATATACATCCTAAACTTAAAAAAAGAAAAAGAAAAAAGAAAACATGTTGGACCACTTACCATTTTTCATGGTTCTGTTGCGGATAAACATATGGAGAAAATAAGCTACTCTGTAGATCTTATTTCACTCCAATCTCTGTGCTTTTACTCTCCCTGTCACAGCCAACTTAAGAATTTCCTCTTTCATGACAATACGCAGAAAGTTCACAGTTCTCAAGGCAGCAAAGCAGGAAGTTTGCAGTTGGAAGGATTTCCCCTCTTCAATGGGACAGGGGAGGAGAGAAAAGTATGATGGGGGCTACTGTGAAATCTTTTGCCAGCTGAAGCACCTGATTTGGACATACTTATCACAACAGAGTCCTAAAGTGATGCTACCGAGACCAGGCACAAATTAAACACTGCATGCATCTGTTTTGCAATAATTTGTCACTTCGGTTTTTTGAGAGAGTGAGAACTCCCGCCCTTCTGACTGGGGCACCAATAATCCTATCAACAGTGATAGTCAAATGTAGAAGGAAGCTAAAACTGCCAGACCGCAACTCACCAGAACGTGCTACCTTCGCAGCTGACCCTGTATCACAAGACAGGAGTGAATGCCACATGTGGCTTTAATGCCAAGCAGCTGCTGCACACCAGCACTCCCTCTGTCCTCCTCCTTCCCCCCTGCACCGCTGGGTTTCTAGGACTACCGCAAGTAAAGGAATCGCGGCGCCCTAAAATGAACGCAAGCCTCCGCACCCGTGGCAGAGCTAAACCCAAACACATCACACCCCCTCCCCTTCCATGCCCGGAGACGCGAGATCATCGGTGCCAAAGTGCGGCCGGAGGAGTGAGGAGTGGGCAACGCACGACCTCTCCTCGGCCATTTCAAAACCTGTTACTCTCCTTCCCTTTTAAGCAAAAGCTCAGGGTAAGACCCTCTCCCGGCTGCGAGTGCCGCCGTCCCGCTGCCCGCCGCGCTGCCACCGCCTTCCGGCTTCCGGGCAGCTGCGGAGCGGTGCGGCGGGCGAGGCGAGCCCCCCCATCCCCTCCGCTCACCGACACCAGGAACTCCAGGGTGCCCACGTAGTCCCGCTCGGTCTTGAGCAGCTCGTTGAGGACGCACACGCGTAAACGAAGCTGTTTCTCCAAGTCCTTCCCGCTTTCCCCCTTGCCTTCCCCTTTGCTTTCCTCTGTCATGGTGCAGCGAGGAGGATCGGTGTTCCCAGCCCGGCGCCGTTCCCGGAGCGCCCCGGCACTGCGCTGCGGACAAGGACAACAAAAGACCCGCCAAGTAACACAGCGGGGCCGGGCTCGGCCGGTTCCAGCCGCGCTGCAGCCGCAGCCCCAGCTCACCCCGCTCCCGCGGCCGCCCGAGGTCCGGAGGCGAGCAGCCACCCCAGTGCGCGCTCCTTTCCCGTCAGGAAGAGAACACAGCCTGAAGGAAACGAGCGGTCACTGGTTCCCAGCTCGCCCTGCTAGCTGAGAGGTTGGAAAGCCTCCGCAGCAGCAGACTTGGACATTAATCAAAAGCTTTGTATCCATGTGACTCCAACCCCTTCCCCCCCTTCACTAAATCTCAGGAAAAAGGAAAGGAAACAACTTCAGGGAGCATTGCGTGCCAGCAGCTGCCTGTTTCACACACAAGCTGCGAGCTCCAGTTTGAGGCTAACTGGAGTTCTCCAACAACAGTAAAAGAATTATAAAAATGTCCCAAGCAAGCTGGCTGGACAGGGAATCAGCAGTTGTTTTTGTTTTGTTTTGTTTTAATCATCAGCAAAGAGCCATTTCAACTTCCCCTTCCACACCTTCCCACGAGATTATATTACCATGTATATTGCAACTGATGCATATTATAAATACAAGCTTTTTTATTCTCCTGACAAAATATGCAGAGCTAAGGATGTGCTGAGCAGGTACAGAAAAGTTATTTCAAGGTTGGGGGGAGGGAGGTATGGGGGGGTGGGGGAGTTAAGTTGTCTGGTTTGTGTGTTTATTAAAACAAAGTGCTGTAAAATCCCCAGGTTATACAGTTTTCCTGTCTGCTTTCAAAGTTCAGATTTGCATGATACATTAAAAGAATAAAAAATAATTCAGTAGCTATTTCAAACAGTTAGCAAAAGGTATAGAACTACTTTAGACAAGGGGAACTAATTTCCTGAAGACTGCAGTATGTCAGGACACTACCATGTGAATTTTAAGCCCACTGATGAAAGCCGAAGTTTTCTTTGGCTACCTCTTCAGTCTACGACTGGAAAAAAAATCCAGGTCTTCAACTTCCAGATTCTGTATCAACTATCTTTCTAAACCTGCAACATCCTAAAAGGACAGAATAAAATTAAAACCTGAGTGTAAAACTTCTACAGCTGCATTACGAGATGAGTCCTTTAGTGGTAGAGGATAAGCAGTGACATTTGTGTTCTGATAACTAGACATCATCTAGCTGTCTGCCTCAGAGATCTTTGGGGAAACAGAGGATACACTTCCCGCAAGACGTTTCCCAAAGAGCAGAAAAAAAATTAAAAAAAAAAAAAAAGAAAAATAATTCTTTGAATGTGACCTACTTATCTGCATCCTCTCCTTCCCAAACACAGTCAGCTCCCTTGCATAAAATTCTAGGCAAGAAGCAGCAGTTGCTGGAGCCAATTCTGCTATGTATCCTTCTCAGCAATTTATGCATGTGCAGATTGGCCTGCAAACTTGCCTACTGACTTCAGCATAGCTCCTTCGTCAATATGGCACTAGTACCTTTCAAAAACAGACACCGATTTTCATGAAAATCAGAACTTCATGTTTTTAAGGACCTCGCTGCCCTGCTAAATCTGGTTCAAATAAACTAATGGGTTGAAAAAGCCAACACAGCTCAATCACTGAAGCCTCTTTCTTTGGAAAACCTGTCTAAAATAGACAACATGTCTGGTGATTAGCTCAAAACTGTTTTACCCTCTCGGTGGGCTTCATCAGTGAAGCTCTGTCCCAAAGTCCCAAGGCTCTGTGGCATCTGCTCTAATCCTATGGAGGAGATTAGGTGCTTCCCAATTGCTTGCTTTAGCACCTAGAAGGCTGATGCTATGTTGGAAAGAAAAAAAGAGTGACCCACTGAACCCACAATGAAGTTTTCTGAAGTGATAACCAGAAAAAGGATCCGAAACCACTGGAATAGAACACCACACTATTGCTTTCTGGCTCCTAAACATATGTGGGTGACCTTCTTCAGATAGTCATAGTCAGATCCCTCAAACTTGGTAAATTTCTGGTGGAGAAGAACCCTCTCTTTCTTTTAGGAAAGCAGAAATTTTTTCTACATTTTTTTTTTTGCTACATTTTTTCGCTACATTTTTTCACTTCAGAGATTACTCTGTGCTCTTGGCTTCTGACATGTGCAAGTAGTTGTCACAACCCATGCACACTCATAGACTGAGGTGACAGCTAAAAGTGGCAGGAGCAGCAGCTTACTGTCTTTCTTTCCATCATCTATAGAAGTAAGTATCCCTTCCCTTGATACGTTTGTATCTCATTGCCAGGAGACCTTAAAGCCAAAGTGATCCTTGTCCCGCTTTACACTCCTGCTGCCCTCACACAACGCTCCTTTCTTCAGGCAGGCAGCAAAATACAGGGCAGCAAAAGCATTAGTGACAACACAGAAGAGATTTTTATGGCTCACCTAAGGCCTCTGAACCCAGCAAAGCCCACAGCAGATGTGCAATGATAGGAAAAGTCATTCTAAATACTAGACACCAATATGGAAGACATACATGCCTACAGGCTCAGCCAATTTTCCTGACAACCTGCTTGAAGTAATAAAGACATGGGCAAATTACTCTTTTCCCCTAGTTTCAGGAAAAAGCTGAATTGCTCCAATTGTAGTTTTCACTGCACCAAAATTGGGTAAAAAAGAATAAAGTGGAAGAAAGGTAGAATATACAGATGGGATGAAAAAGTTTAGCCTGAACAAAATATCTTAAGCAACTAAACAGCAGATTTTACACTGTGATTAAACACTGATCTTGAGTAGTAGATAGCACTACCTGTCTTAAATACAGAAACAACTTATATAAAACAGTATATTGATTATGCTAGCATGTGGGAAACAGCAATTCTTCCTCCCTATGTGGAAAGACACATTTGGAGAAACTGGAGAAATCAGATTGTTCCCATGGGACGTTATAACTTTGGAATGCAACAAGAACTATTTTGGTCCAAGGGTACTTGAGGCCCAAGTTGAATTTCTATTTAGAGTCCTGTTGAAAAAAATATGGTAGCACACAAATTTTGATCTACTCACAAAACCACACAGGACAGGTTGTCCAGCCAGGTTTTGAGTAACTCCACAGATGAAACTCTACAACCTCTATAGGAAACCTGTGCCAGTGTCTGGCCAGTGTTCTGCAGTAAAAATAAATAAATAAATAAAGTCTTCTCTTGTGTTCAATCAGAATTTCATGGTTTTTAATGTATGTCCATTGCCTCTAGTCCTGTCAGCTGGCACTACTGAGAAAGGTTGAGTTCTCTCTTAGTCATTTCCTTCCACCAAGCCTTTAAAAACTTGGATAAGATTGCCCATGAACGCTCCCCCTTCCAGGCTGAACAGTTTTTAAGATGAGGCTGGATGTGGCACTTAGTGCCATGGTCTGGCAGTGTTGGATCAAGGGTTGGACTGGATGATCTCTGAGGTATTTTCCAACCCAGTTGATTCTATGATTCTATGATCTCCCTCAGTACACATTTGAAAGATCATCCATTCCCTTAATCATCTTTGTGGTCCTATCTGATGACCTGGAACCTGGGTATTAAATACCTTATGCATGACAGATGATAGCAATTAAAGTTCAGTGATCTGCCATGACACTTATGTACTCTATGAGAAAACCACATGGATTTGTTTCTGCATTGCTACCGAATAATGGCTATCAGTGCAAGACAGCTCCAGTATCACAGAAGAATGAAATCAAGTGTTCCTCAGGGCACATTATCTTGTACCACAGCACTGTAAAGGATTCCTCAGTCCAGCTGGGAATTTAATATTGTCTTCTTTTCAGACAGAGCTGAAATACATTTCTGATATTGAAAAAAAAAAGACAAAAACTCCATAGGAATTATTAAGAGACCCATCCAAGAAATGTGATTAACAAACACTAAAAAAGTTCATCAGAATAAAAACAGTTTCTTTACAGATGGTTCTAATACCATATTGAGCAATGAGAAGGTTAATATGCATGGGACTAGCTGTAAATGAAGTAAGTGTTGGAGAACAGGTGAACTGCAAAGTTCACTTTTGACACATTACTATCTGTTCGTTCACCACAGAGTTTACACCAAACCAACATTACAGCTAGAGGTTTTAAATAGAAGTCAGTATTTGTACAGAATGAACAAAAGTAATCAGTTCTGTAATATGCCTTTTTGGCATTTTGGAAGAACAATAGAGGGACTTTAACCACAAAGACATTTAAATGGCCCCAAGCACAGTAAGTTATAATCACTACCGTAATATAATCATCAACATAATAAATAAGTTCATATAATCAAAAGACTTCTACAGGTATTTTGAATACAAGCTGGTCTCCCCCAACACCAGACTTTTTTTACCCCAAACTACTATAGCATTGCTCTCCAACTATAAATGCACAGGACTTCACCACACAGTTCTTCCACAAGCCTCTTTTGATGGTGTATCTATTCACAAGGCTTTTAATAATGTTATTCCCACCAGCACAAGGGACACAGCAAACATCTATAGGAAAAAAAATTTTTACATTCAGCTTTACGTAGCATGAAAAGAAATACTGCATGATTCAAATCTCATTTATCCAAAAATAAATCTAAAAAGATATAGAGAGATTAAAACTCAATAGAAAAGTGATTATTTACAATTCACTTAAAGAAATGTATTTGACTTTCCCTATTAGGGGTCCATTGCACCTTTAAGAAATCCTGCAGCAAAAGACACCTAAGTCTTAGAATGACAAGTGCTCACTACAGATGGTTTTTCTTCAGAAGGCTATCTAGCATGAGCCAGAATCTTAAGACAGGAGCGCAGTTAGTTCAAGTATCTATTGACTTTAAATTAGTATTAAAACAATGTGTACTAACATAAGTGCGTAGCAAAATCTCCTCAGGAAACTCTAATTAGTTTGGGAAGAAACTGACCACACCATGAGTCCAGCATTACAAAGTAAAAATGCTCTCCAGAAGGTTTCATATCAGCTTAGTGTACCCTGATGAAAGCTATTTAAACTGAAACCTCATCTTATGTGGTATCTAAGCAGACGAACAGAAAGGACAGCTGCAGAAATTACTCCACCTCAATTTGAGGACATCTGATTACAGCTTCTTCACACTAGCTATTTAGCAACCTTTTTAAAAGCTGATAGGAAATTGAAATAAAATTAATTATAAACCCATTTAATTATAAATGCAAGCTGAAATAAGAGGAATACAATGTACATAAGTAATCTCAAAAAACCT